ATATGGTGGCTTTTTGTTTGGTGAACTAAATTAATAACTCCAATTCGTCGTCGTTCAGCAATGAACCGCTAGATAGTAGCATATTGATTGAAATTTCAATATAATATCAAAACGTCGTAACTTGTAATAAAAGTTGGCATTGAATTTTTATCGATATACCAACACGGTAAAGTTGAAATTTAACAATTCAGAGTGTGTTATACCCTTAGAATAATAACGCATAGAATGATAGTTTCATATCAAACGAACTGTCACAAGTGAGGCAAAAATCAAATTCATGTAGGCTAGTTTTAGTAGTAGGTTAATTTTCGGTTTTAGTGAATATTTATATAAAAATACAAGTTGAAACGCGTTACTTCCTTGTGGAATGTGATGTTAGTATCTATTTTATGTTTGTCTGACGTATTTTTACACTCATTTACCGCACATTTCGTCATTTTTAGCTAAAATTCTCGAGCTGTTCGCGGTGCAAGTTGACTTTGAGCACTGAAGGCCCGCCCGCTCGTGTAAGCCCATAGGGAGCGCTTCAATTTGCCTCACTTAGCGTGTGTGGACTAGGTTTCTATGCGTTATTATTCTAAGGTTATACCTTTATTTGAAAGTACGACTAATCAATATGAAGATTTTGTAATGTTTCACATTAAGAATGTGTGAGTTTTTACGACATCGGTTCTCATTGTAATGGAGGCTTAAGACAGAAGTGGTGGACAGGAGTGCTCTGAAGAGTTATTCAACCTTATCCCTTCCTCTCCTTTTCATCAGCGGACCACCCGTGCCGGACTGCGTTGCCACAGATGGACGGTCAGTTCAATACCGTCCCGCACTAAAAAGTTTGGCAATTCGTTTTTATGCCGAACCATCAAATTGTGGAACCAACTCCCGGCGCATGTATTCCCTCCCCTCTATAACATCGGGTCCTTCAAACGTAGTGTGAAGAAGCATTTGGCCAGACCGGCAAAATGATAGTGACGGAGTGAAGATATTTGTGTTTTCCATCCGTTACTCTCATCTCTGGACTGTATTCGCACTTTCCATCAGGCGCGGTGCAGTCATTTTGCCGAGTAACAATAAAAAAAAAAAAAAAATCCATTGCTTTTTTCTCTTCAGTGTAGGTATTATTATTCTGCTTATTAGACCGAAGAGAGCCCAGTGAGAGAACGGCTTCCCTATTAAGAGGTGTGAGTTGATTTGTTCCAATGACTTATTTTTCTAAGCTAGGTACATTAGTCTAGTAACAATACCTCCCGCTAACGTTGAAAGAAAACAATGTGATCCTGCAAGTCGAAGAAGGTTCACAACTCTAGAAACGTATAAAGTCCCAACCTGCTTTGGGCCAGTGTGGTGTCGATTATTACACGCCCTTCATTTATGCCACAGATACAACGAGGATTTTGCAATGGCGGGTATTTTTTTTATCAACAGTTGGCCAACTAGCATCGAGTATATAACCAGAAATAGAGACGAAATAAGGGCCATGCATTCCTGGTAACTTATCAGTTATACATCACTTATAAATATCAACTCTCGTTTGCACTGAAATATAGACAGCGCCAACAACTGACCCGTGTATATGTTTCCGTATATTCCAAAAAATATTCTGTATTTATTGTAATGAATAATATCTCTAACAACGGAATTATTAACGGTATTATATTCGGTGGTGTGGGAAAAACAGCAAAACATCTAATTACATAACAAACGGCACCACATTTCGTCGGTAATTAAGTATTAAATAAGTAATTTTGCAATTTTCGTCCATTATAGCAAAGCTCAAGTTAAACTGGTAGTTTTGAAGTGAAACAATTTGACGACACCCGTCAATTGTTTCGAAACTCGGGCTGGCCAATCGGAGCGCAGTTGTCATCGTAATGATATGGCAGAATCTTAGAGGATGGAAAAAAATAAAGGGTCTAAGGGCAGAATAGTTTTCAAACAAATTAAATGACATTTCGTCTCTATTTCTGGTTATATACTCGATGCCGACTGGATATTATTCCATAGATAAATACAATTCAAACTAAAATGTTATAAAAAGCATGGACGCATACAGCCATGATGGATTGTAAAAAAAAATTTGGTCAATTTTTGTATAGAAAATAATTACTTAAATTGAATTATACGAAAATCTTAATATTTCGTATTTAAGTAGTATATGGCTGAATTACAATTAAATTTCTGTTTTAACATTTTAAGCGATTGTTTTAATTTTGAACTTAAGTAAACCTATGGAGTCTTAAGTTTTCGCGATTGTTACACATAGGAAATGAAACTATTTTTTCGGATTTAAATCGCGTATATTTGTTTTTACAAAGAAACATTCCAATTTGCGCTACATTATGTTTTACAATTTATTTTATTTTAACGATATAATTTTTTATTACCTAAGTTACATTTATTATTAATTACTAGTGAAAATTAAAATAAATTAAGTAAACCTCCTTGCTTGAACCTAATCTACGTAAGGAGTGTGTCGTGTTAAAAATAAAATAAAATCTCCTTACCGACCCTGACTGTAATGTGAAGGAAAAAGGCCCAATGGTTTTATTTGGGGCATTATAGTCAAGTTAGCCAACATGCCATCATACTAAAGTACCGGCAAGCTACGATGGCCGTTTTGACGGTTGTCCGCCCATCAAGTTTCGTATTAATTCATAACTACGCTGAAGGAGCTAATTGACGTGCTTTGTTGTCAATACGTGACGTGCAGTAAAATTTATGGAATGTACCGTTTTACGACACAACTCGGCATCTGTTTTTCGAAATTTTAAAAATGAAACGTAATACTATCGTTGCTTATAGGATCGTTTTTTTTTCATTTTATTAAAACTTTTCAACCGGCTACTCCAAAGGGTATTAAAAGGGGTGTTTACAAATTTAGCAATACTAGTTATAAATGTAAAGACTTATAGATGCGACACGCATTTGATTATATTTGTTTCGACAATGAATTGAGATTTGGCCTCACTGTTGTAATCTGTCAAAACGGTCACCATAGCGTGCAGGTACTGTAATTACGACCAAGTGTTATGAAAAAGAAATGAAGATGTATTTCATAGTTTTTTTTTTGTTGCAGAAACGCATACCTTCTTTCCGCTCTACTTCGGGAAATAACGGCTATATATATTCATAAATAAAAAATGTACATATTGGGAGCAACATACTAAATAATTAAATATTTGTGTCATGATCTGAGTATATTAGTACAAATTACGGTTGTGAAGAAAAGATCAAACTTCTACCTTTTCGCGGGAAATTTAGCTGTCAAACTGAAAAAAGTAGAGCGGAACATGAGACGGCAACAGTGCTGCGCCGCCCGCGTGTTGGTGTCGATCTTTTTACGAGACCCCGCTCTTATTCAAGTCAAACACACTTTAAAAAAATTTTAACATAAATAAACTAAAATAAATATGTGTGTGTGTGTGTCCTGCGTTTAAAATTAGCTTTATGATTAATGGCGTCCCGGTCATGAGCTCACTTAATATCATTATATAGCTAGGGTGTGTACTCGACTTATTTGTCTACCGGAGTACCACATAATATACATACCCTTCTCACCCTATGTATATCCCTCAAGTTAGGCAGAGACTCTGGCTTTCACTTGCTACGATCGTGACAAACATTTTCCTAACAACAAACTAAACGTTGTCCATTGACTTACAATTATATGGACTTCGGGTCCGCGCTAAAAAGTGTCCGAACTTATAGGGCGTTAAAATCGTATACAGAGCATCATTCACGCTCTAGTCTTCGTTTGTTCGACTGACAGCGAAGCAAGCAAAATTAGACAGTACTGCGATGACATTACAATTTAAATTCAACGTTTTAGCTTTTTCATATTCCTTTACATGTCACTACGTTTAAATAGGTTGACTTGGACATTTTTTTCGTGGTTTTTGTATTAGACCCGTCGTCCATTTATTTGTAAGTCAATGACGTTGTCAAAATAAAAAAAGGATTATTGATTGCCTATACTGTAAAGGTAAAGCCACAACCATAGCAATTTTATACAAATGTACCTATAACCATAAACACCAATTTGCCTTGTAGTTATACCGTAATTCCCTGTACTACACCGCCTTTGAGTCAGACGCAACGCGCCGTCTGCGCAGGTAATGGTCAGTTCAGCGACTCTCAGGAAACAAACAAATTGATCCATTCATCTCCTCAGTATGCCGCTCGATCGCTAAAACAACACACGTTCTTTTTGTTTCATTATTAATGACATTATTTTGTATCGCCTCTACATCTCAAACTTTGACACGGATTTTTATGTGGTAAGTAAAACATGTAATGATCTATTTATATTTTATGATTTATTCCACATCCAATGCTCATTTCATAATGTTCTTAAAATACATTAAATTCGTGTTTTTATCAGCAGTGTGAAATATAAATGCGGTCACTCATACACGTTTATCGTGTTTTGTTTATTTTTCTTCGTAAGTTGGTACTTAAGTAGATCAAGAGGTGACCTGTTATTTTTGTAGCAAGGAGTTTTAGTAAAAATACTTTTTCTGCTTTATTTTATATGTAATTGTGTAGTTTTGATACGTTATTGTGATTTTTTGCCAAGGTTTCTGTGTTTAGTAGAGTTAATTAAATGTAAGCATTATACGCTTACACATTATTGAAATTTTGAAATATTTTTGTTCTAGAATAACAAGACTACATCTTCATCAAAATCTGGAAAAAACTTACTATAGAATAATTAGAAAATCGCAAAGATGCGTGCTTTGGTAAGTTCGATTATGTGCAATAATACGTGACAATCGTGTAATAATTTTACAGAAAATTAAAAAGGCCTTTTAAAAGAATGTGATAGAGCAACGACTTAACAAACTGAAGTCATAATTTTAATTAAAGAAAACAAGTAGTATATTTATTTGTCCTTCGGGACAGGCTATGGCGTTTAATAAGCCATACTGCCAGATCTTAGAATTTAATTTTAAACTAAAAATCCTTCGCGTAAAAACTGTAACTACAGAATCCGCCCTTTTCTTTCTCTAAAAGAAACAAACAGACCGTCACTAATGTCACTTTAAAAATAAAACCGCCATGTTTGTTGTATAGTGGTGTGTTCAGTTCACTTCTCAAATTAACTCACAGAAACGGGATTACTAAAGAAACATTATAGATTTTTAACTATTAATTTGGTAAACAATATTTCATTTACGTTTAGTCTCTTCATATTTCTTATTATTCTCTGTCGTCAATTGTTTCGAATTCGTGCTGGCCAATCGGAGCGCAGTTGTCACCGTAATGATTTGGCGGAATAGTTTTCAAACAAATTAAATGACATTTCGAATCTATTTCTGCTTATATATACTCGATGGTTTAGTTATTCTCATACATGGATTTAATAAAATAGGCAACTGTTACAGAGTCATCACAACGCATTAAACCGATCAGAAAAAGCTTATTTAATAACAGCGAAATAGAAGTGACATACATACATATCGACGGTCCCACCAAATAAACGTGTAAAAGTGTGACAATTCGACCTCTTTCATCGCCATCCCACGTTTTTATCACCCTTTTCTCTAGCTCCTGGCCACTTACTTTTGAAAATTTGAATTCTTTTGCCTCGTTTCATTCATTAGCACTGCTTCGTTCCGGCCAACCGTACACTCGCTACCAAACTTCCGAATTGAGCAGATGTGTTATCTCTCATCATACTAAATTACAAATACAATAGTTTCTTATGTACGTTTAACGATATAACGTGTTTATACACATACATCAAACACACAAACAAACACATTTTTTGGAAAAGTTCATAATGTCGAACAGTGTCATAAACAGTTCCTGATACGTCAAGAAATGACAAACCTCCATAAGGACACTAACAGGACTCTCCAGGCTACTGGACATGCTTGACCGGTGCCAGCAGCGCGTGACAAAAGTTTTCACCGAAATATTTTTTGTATTTTTGGAGTTTCCCCTTCAAAATCTTAATTTTTTTCAGATTTAGTTTCCAATAATTTTATAATTTTCGGTACTCCAATGTTAAAAATCATTAATGTCGCACGAATATTGAAAGTACATATTTTGCACATTATCTACTCTTGAATGTTTACAACAAACTAATTTTGTAATAATGTTCGTAGAAATCTTTGAAAAAATCTTTAAAATTGTAACACATCTTTGCACTTTTAAAATTAAGACCAATTACTAGAATAACCTAGTAACTATATAATATTCGCATTGATAAATGTTAATATTCATAGCAAAACTAAGTAATATTCAGTTAAATTTAAACGAATAATAGTGTAAACACTATAAGCGAACAGTAACCAAGTTTATTTACTGGAATAAAAATTTAAAAGGGATTTTTTATTAATTTCTCATAAACTATCAATATTTTCGTATTTCATAGTTTAATGATATAATGTTTTTTTAGCTTTGATTTGGTCATACGATGTATCAATGAGTAATATTATTTTTTAAGTTTTTAATCGCTTCTGTAAAGTTGCTGCTTTTCCTTTACACGTTTATTCCATGGGCCCGTCGATACAGTTTTTTGAGCGGCTTAAGCCGAATATGTGTGATGAAACCTTTATTCCGTGAATGGAACCGTTATTACATTTATGTTGTTTAAATACAGGTTTGACTAATTTACAGTTAACTTGTCGTAAATCTGGTTTGGGCAGAGTAATTATTAAACAGTTATAATTTACAATACTGGGAATGCCCCAAAAAATACCAATAAAAGCCTGCATCTTCAACAACTGTATATGATTTTAAATTAGCAGCAATAGAGTTACTTGTGAAAGAGTTCGTCAAGGGAAATACTGCCACATTACCTATTTCTGCCGTCAAACAATAATGTGAGCATTACTGCGTTCCGGTTTGGAAGGGTACACAGAAACTTCAAGGTTGAGTTCTGCGAAAAGTTATCATTAATTATTGGGTACACAAATTGTTTTAACGCAACATCACGATCCAATATATTCTTTTTTGAATACCGCTCACATTCTCGATTAAAACTTCTTCATAAATAAAATATATTCTTATGAAACATCGAAACGCATCAGAACATCACTAATTCATTAGAATTCGAGCTGTCTAAAGTAAAATAAATGGTTAGACGGAGTATAATTTCTTAGATTTGAACTGATGGGCCATACATTTAGGGCTGTAACTTTTTATTTATTTCTTTACAACATCCAGGACGCTTGCCATAATTATTTTACAACTAGATATTAATAATACTTGGAGCACTGCATTTGCAAATTCGTCATGTGGCCACTCAGTGCACACACCCATTAATTCATCTAGACCAGTTATACTCCACCTTCTTTCCTTTTCAGGCCACATGTGTTTGCTATGCTACATGGGCTATGTTACTTTAGTTTACAATTAGTCTCCATGTAATAAGTAAAACACGTAATCTAAATTCAAACTTTAAAACTAAATGTATGTCGCTAAAGACTGTAAAAATTAGGAAATCCATAGTATCTATTAAAAAGTATCTTCGTCTAATAGTGTTTCGGGGCGTAGCTTAGCGTACCACAGGTTGAGCGTAGCTTATCTAGACGATTTTATATCGGGGTAGCAGCCAGTCTATGACACAATAAAAATGTGCGCTTCTTACAATGGTGCTGTAAATCCAAATGAAAAAATCTACCACCAAAATCAATTTATAATCGTATTAGAAATCAAATTTCGTGGCGAATTATTTAACAGATTGTTTCATGTTTTGCTATTATTTATTCATTTCGGCCTATGTAGACATTGTCACGCATGCACGCATGACTTTACGAGAACATGAAAATTATTCATATGAAAAATATTTTATTCATATTTCTTAAGAACGCAGTTCTTTCTAATGTTTATTTTGAAAGTATCCACCCAATCTCATGCCTCTACCGTTTATTTTTGTAGTTTGAACAATGGTTTACATCGTAACAACGTTTAATTCGGTCCCAGCAACTTTTCAAGTCTTTGAATTAGTACATTGTTCATCAAGGGAAAAAGTCACCGATTACGACGAGTTTTAAACATACGACTTGGAAATCGCACTATCTTCCGAGTGTCACATGGTGCTTTATACTAAACCTAAGAGGAAAATAAAATAAACTGTCATAGGAGTAGGGTGTACTCTCTCTCAAACAAAAAAGAATTTTAAAAATCAATCCACAGTTGATGGAGAAATCGGTGAACATGCACACAGCCGAACATATAACCTCCTCCTTTTTCGAAGTCGGTTAAAAATAAGGCGCATTCACTTCTGTTGTATTTATTTCTGGATTTCTCCGGCAACAGGTTCTCAATAACTGTTCGGGTAGCTCCTTTTAGGTCATAAAATCATTATCACTCAACGACATTTTGAGTAAAATCAATAAAATAAACACGAATTGAAAATTGCAAGCAATTCGAGCTTCCGTGTTTTTCACTTGGTTCTTTTTTTAAATTGTTGATCACAAAATGGAATAAGCCAATAATGGGCCGATGTGATGGGCGAACTTGAATTAAAAACTTTTTGCCGTTTTGTCAAAATTAAAAAAAAACTATACCTTAATACAACAATAACTTATTGTTCATTTCCACCATCGAGTATATAACCAGAAATAGTGACGAAACAAGGGACATCCATCCCTGGCAACTCATCAGGCCAATGGGCCTTATATCAATTTTAAATATCAACTCTCGTTTGCGCTGAAATCACACGTTACAAAACTGAAATAGTACAGCGCCAACAACTGACCTGTGTGTACGTCTCCGTATATTCCACAAATATTCTGTGTTTATTGTACGCGATGCGCTCCTCCTACCGCAAAATGGCGGCTATTTGGTTTCGCAAATTAGAAAAGCATTCAGTTTAAATACAAGTTTTTATAAATAAAAATTATTATTCTGCATTGCTAAATAAATACCCTCCGTACTACTAACAAAAGCATCTCAAATAAAATGCAGTAATACACCGTAAATCCTGCACTTAAAAAGCACTAATGAAATTTTTGGTGTACTTGGATAAATATGATAATATTCCGTTTGAGTGGTTCTCACGTTTACCATGAAATTACTCCTTACAGTATAGTTTATAGACATTTATATTCAGGGTAAACTCAAAAAACGCTACTTACGGTATGTTTTCAACAAATAAACACCGAAATCACCAGCTCAAACAATAAATAACACACGATTGTCGCGACGTATTTTTGAAGTTGTTTATTTTTTTTAAATGACAGATCCAAGCATTAAAAATTTTATGGTTTGCCAGAGTAGTTACCGAAATAGCAATTAATATTAGTTCTTTTACCTGTTATAACTTCGATATCCGATAAATCGGTATAAAATCATCACCGGCACCTCTAGGTGTGGTATGCGTTTACGGCTGCATGTATCGCGTGAGCGGTTAAAGATAATATCTCTAACATTGGGGGCTGTTCCATTCAGTGGTGTGGGAAAAACACCAAAACATTTAATTACAAAACAAAACGGAACCACATTTCATCGGTAGTTAAATATGAAATATGTAATTTTTCAATTATCGTCCATTATAGCAAAGCTCAAGTTAAAATTGGTCGATTTGAAGTGAAACAATTAACGACACCCGTCAATTGTTTCGAATTCAGGCTGGCCAATCGGAGCGCAGTTGTGACCGTAATGATTTGGCAGAATAGCTTTCAAACAAATTAAATGACATTTCGCCTCTGTTTCTTATATACTCGATGATTTCCACCTTAACAATAACAGTGAAAAACGCGGCAAATTGTTTGCAATTTTCAATTCGAGTTTTACATGATTTTTTCGAAATTTTGTCGAGTGATAGTGAAGATTGAATAACGCCCCTAGAATTTAAAGAAACTATCCAAACAGTTGTTAAGAACCTACTGAGAAATCCAGAAATAAATGTTTCTTCAGCCGAAGGCCGAGCGAACAACAGGGTGACTCGTGGAAAGGCGAAATACGTGTCGGGTATGTTTGGTGGTGGCGTTTGTGACTGTAGTTGCGCTTGTGTTATTTATTTTATTAATTTAATGCAGAGGGAGGGTGGGAAAATTAACAGTATGAAAAAATATTCAACACAAGCGCAGCGATTTTGCACGATTTAACCATCACTGGGTTCGTGGAGTAAATTAATTTATTTCCATTGTTATTAACACGGACTTAATAGAACGCGTATAGTATACGATATATATTTTTCACCCGCTTAATTTAGTTTTTTACCGAGCCGATGTAGTATGGACTCTGGGGGTCTACTCTCGATCTCCGTCCGAAACAATTACTGTCAAATAAGTAATATTCGACAAAATTAAAAGACAAGTATCCAGTATGGAGCTTCATTCGCATCACGCGTCTTTTCATTTGGTCAAGTATTGCTTATTTGGCAGTAATTGTTTCGGATGGAGAACGAATATGTAACTTTGTGAAGAATATCTAGTTAGTTTTATTCATCGTACTAATGAACTTTACTGGTTCCAGTTGCTTCTTTTAACCATTTCGATGCTATCAATCCTGACGACAAGTACGCCAATTGACCTGGCCCGCGCGCTGGCCAACTCCCGAACCGCAAGCTCCGATGCCGCCGATGGTGCTGCCGCAAACAGACGTGCAGCCAATGAAGATCAGCAACCCTTGATTATATACCAGACTTCTTACTTGCCACATACTGACGAAATTAGACGAAGTATGCATTTCTAATTTTGTATATAAAGTAGGAAACACTTGCAAATCGATTTTCATGATTTAGTAGCCTCAATCCAATTCGTATGCTTTTTAGGTATTTCTGTTTCATTTTGTTTTTAAAGTATAAACCACAGATATATATCTAAATAGACACCGCAAGTACTGCGATCTGTATAAAAACCAAGCGTGCCACAATGACGTCACAAGCGCTATTTAATGATGGGAAACCTCCTTCCGCATTAAAGCGATTGATTAAATCGAAGACGTATTTAGAATATTTTTCAAGTATTTGTTGATTATAAGAAGCCGTGAAATATGAATATAGTAAAATAATAGATACCAAAATAAAATAATTAAGCCCTTGAAAAAATATTGCTGCGTAAAACTAAAAAAAACAACAGCAAACTTTATAAAATATTTTTATAACGTTTTCTAAGGTCTTAAGAATTACCATTTTATTTTCTAAATCGATCAGAATCGAGAACTGCGTTACATTAAGTGAATATCACTAATCGGAAGTATAGGTAGGTCTTTTGATATTCATGGCCTACCAAGAAGGACCACAAATGTACCGCAACAAGTGTGTTCGCGACACACGGTAAACAATAACGCTTCGTGTAGTTATTATTGACAAATTAAATTGGCGCTGTATCTTTCAACCTTTGCAGGTGATGTAAAGTCCGACCCCAATAAGGCGCTGCGTAAAGGCGAGTACAAATGCAAAGGCAAGACCTGCAAATTGGACCCCAGCCTGGAACCCCCGCTCTGCGGCGACAGCCCCTGCCAGCACCCCCTCTTGCTCATGGACCCCAAAGAGCAATGGACTACGTGACGTTGATTGGTTAATAAAATTATTTCATTTCTTCATTTTACGTTGTTTTTTTATTCCACCAACCCATATTTGTCCAGCATGGTCGTATGCCGCCTGAATGGCACAGCAACTGGTATGGACAGGCGGTGTTGCTTTCCACCGGGAGCACGACTTGTTCGTCCCGTCAGTTCGCTTCATAAAAAAAACTTATTTTTAGAGGAGACCAGTGTCAATTAATGGAGTGCACGAAATGAGTCTCCCCGTACTACGAACCAGTCTTTTACTGTACATCTAGTTCATCCCAGGCAACAATTTGCGAGTACCTTACAACGATGGCAAGCATTATAGCGTACGCCATACGATAAGAAGAGGAAGAATTAATAGGGTCTCATGGGTACCTGGCTGAATGAAGATATAGAAAGAAAGAAAGAAACATTTATTCGGCTATTACAAATAAATATACAAAATAGAATAATAATATTAATCTAAATTTAAATTAAAGAATAAACAATTAATAAACAAAAAATATATATATTACTAAATTAAATACATAAACATAAATTAATTCGAAATGGCTAGCCAGCTCAATTTAATGCTAGGCAGAGCCACAGCGCTGATTTTCAGCTGGAGCCCGAGAAAAGGTAGATGGCTATGCCTATTTGACAAAAACTTAAAAGAATAACAAGTATTTGATCTGTAACCTAATCATTTAAAACAACAATACCCAATTTAGAATTAAATTATTACAGTATGCAGCGTGCTCTTAAACAATATAAAGTAACAAAATTAATAATAATAAGAACGACGTCTGAGTCGTATTAATACTAAAATAAATTAACAACACCTTTAGCGTAAACTCTTTAATTCTTTTGCAAAAGCCAGATAAAGCTCCCAAAGCATATTTAAAGCTCCCTTGAAATGCTGCAGTTCTGTGGCACTGGACAATTAGCCGACCAAGACGCAATGAGACGACCATATTCAATTTTTATATAGGTAAAACGGTTTTTTATGCTTTATTATACCAAAGAGTAGAGTGGCTAAACGTATATACCGACGTGAAGACATACTTAATAGTTTATTTTTATTAAAGGGTAACAAAATATTAGGCATGCATTTTGAACTGAAATAGTTAAATTCAGACAAAATCAAGGAATCCACCAATTTCAACCGTAAATACGTGCTGAGATAACCTCGCATCTTATATTAAACTTTTAGCCAAAAAAATATTACGAGCATCTTCTGCTACATGGGATTCAAAACATAGCTCTCAATTCATTATGAAACCTAGATTGCGCGCTTCACGGACACCAGCTATTGCTTCTCCGTGAATAGTAAATTGAGGCTCTCTCGAGGCCATCCTCGAAACCTGCAATGCCTGAAATAGATTTCAATCAGATGGCGCTACAGCAAAAAGTCGTTAAAAATCATAAACAAAGGTCTGCAAGCACATAAAGAAATTTGTAACGTGCGCTAGCTTAGTTACTTACTGATTTTAACTTCATGGTTGTCACGTATGCCGCTAGAGGCCGCGAGTTGTCCTTTACGGAACTTTATAATCACATTCTTCTTATTAAATAGCTAAGTAATTAATTATAGTTATTTATTTAGTAAATTCTTCGTCATAAATATTGTACTTGAAATTGTAATTAAAGTACTTGTATTCAAAGCATTTCATTGGCTTTTTAATTTGTGGTTACCAATTGCGCCGCTAGGCGTCACTGTGTGTTGAAGAATAGTTTTTGGTTGTAAAGATTTTGCGCGGGGAACAAAAAAGGAGGCCCGTCTAGCTGTTCTGTTTATCAAAATGGAATAAAATGGATTCCAAGTATTAAGTGTATTTTCCAGCGGTTTTCCCCCTGAGTTTTAATAGTAAACCATTGATTTAAGAGTCTATACTACCTCAAATGGCTTTGGTTGAATACGCATAACAGTGAAAGTGTGAATTTTTCACTTTTGCAAAAATATAATCTTGAGGATATACACTGATTACTATATGGTGTGAAATAATAATAACGCACATACTCAACATAGCCCCGCACTAGGGAAACCCTGTGTCGCGGGTGCCATGGACACACACATAGACAACCACAAATTACGCCCAAACTCACGAGAGAAATAAATGTAGGCCATACAAATATTTCTCCCGGCCCGGGAATCGAACCTGGGACCTCTGCGTCGCAGTCCGGCATGGTAACCGTTCGGCCACGGAGGCAGTTGCAAAACACGATTACTAAATTTGTCACGATATAAAAAAAACAAATTTACCTCGTTTTACAAGAAAACCGCTGTATTCAATAGGTACAGACAAGAGCACGTCAAGCTTGACACTTTGTATTTTGGATCGTTCTTATCGTAAGCGGCATAGAGTTGGATTTCACTCTTAATTGTCAACCAATGATTTTTTTTTTATAACAAGACCAACTAAATAGGCGATATATATTTTTCAAATGCCTTTAATATCGGTTGTAAAAAAAAAAAATTAATTCTAGCTGAGATAAAACGATTAATAAAACTGTTTTAAGGTGCAGCTTGATTTTGATTTTCTCTCCCGATCGGAAATGTCGTCTTTTCCGAGTCGAGGCGCATAATTGCGATTCACAGCTGGCCAATCGGAAACTTGGACATTTCTAATCGGAACAATGGCTGATTTAAATCACAACTTAGAAGGATTTAGTGGGAATCAGGTTCATCTTCTCGCTCAGAAACCCATCTCACTTCAAGACTGCCTAAACGGATCGATTCCGGTTTGAATCAAAATCAGAACGCTGATCTCACTCAGTTTATAAATGTTGAAAATAATTTTTGTTTCGTTAGCAAATCGCATCGATAACAAAGACAACACTTAAGTTTTTTTTTATTGAATGTCAGAATGTTTCGCCAACATGATATTCAATTACTTTTTGTGAAATTTCTCCACTAGTTTGTTATAATTATGAATACAAAGAACACTTAGAAAAAATCCTTTGGTACGGCTGTAGCGCCATCTATGAGAAATCTATGAAAGTATTTCGGCTAAAAGTCGTTAAAAACCAGATACAAAGATTCGACAAACAAGCACATAGAGAAATTCCTGAGGTCCGCGGTTTCGTTCCGTGGCTTAGTTGGCATAGCGTCTGCCACGGTTTGCTAGAAGACGTCGGCTCGAATCCGGCCGGATCGAAGAATTTTTTTCTGAGTGTTGAATCTTAAAAGAAAACATTTGTTATTTGATTTTAAAATCATTTACTATCAGTTACTTCAACATTGTTTCCCCCCTTTTTCTTCCACTTCTGCTCCCACTGCTTTTGCGAAGTTTTGAAGCCGCCCACGTCGAGTTTGCTCGCAACAACTTTACCATACTGCGTGCTGTTAAGGAGGTTGCTCTTGTCCGATATTTCCGTCATTATTTTGATCTTCTGCTCGAGTGACGCGGTCGCGAATATTTGCTCGAACGCCCGTGAACCGTACTGGGAGAGGGCCAGTTTTTGATAGTAACCCTGGAATGAGAAGACGATAGTTATATGTCATGCAAGGCTGCAAAGTTGTTGTTTGACGCGAGTACTTGTGTAAGAAATATATAATCGTAAAATAGAAAAATTATTTTCATTAATTATTTATTTAAATATTATAAGGGTGAATAAGCTCATTCTATGTGTTCATTTAAAAGTTTGTTAATTGATATTATTAGGTTTCCGAAATGTTACTGTGTAGATGGCGCGTCGGTGTTGATTGTGATTGGTCCGAACACTTTATCTACCGGTTCGACTAGCCAATGACATTGCTTTTAAAATTCCCTGCTTGCGAAAAAATGGCGGGAATTGAAAAAAGAAGGGATTTAGGAGGCAATGTCTTTAGGTGAAAGGAAAATTTATGTATTCGTACTTCATCAAATGATCAAGTTAGATTGGTCAGGAATTATAACGGTATTTTGTGGTTACAAATTTTGTTGAGTATATTTTTAAGTTCTAATCATTGACTTACAAATAAATGGACGACGGATCTAATACAAAAACCACGAAAAAATGTCCCAAGTCAACCTATTTAAACGTAGTGACATGTAAAGGAATATGAAAAAGCTAAAACGTTGAATTTAAATTGTAATGTCATCGCAGTACTGTCTAATTTTGCTTGCTTCGCTGTCAGTCGAACAAACGAAGACTAAAGCGTGAATGAAGCTCTGTATACGATTTTAACGCCCTATAAGTTCGGACACTTTTTAGCGCGGACCCGACGTCCATATAATTGTAAGTCAATGGTTCTAATAGAAATTGTTGGAGGAATAGATAATTTAATAAATCAGTTTGGTTACGGCGTTTTATTGAAGCGTTTTGAAGAAGTCTACACTTGTATTGAAACCCGAGCAAGCGAAGGAAGCTAAGATAAGGTTGAAAATAGGTTCCTGTTTCAAGCCACGAGACGCAAAACAATTCTGCTGCCGAGCGAAACACACAACTTTGAAACAACACTGAAAGAAAAACAGTTGAACTATAAAACATCAGTTTTTTTAATTACAAGAAAAATGTTATCTTCGGATGCGTTCTGAACTTACACCTCATCAATTTTTATTGTTGCTTGT